TGTATCTGTAACAAATTTCAGATATTTTTTTTTCTCCCAATTGATGTTTGTAAATATCTACTTTAATATCGATATAAAATGAAGAGATATATTTAGTTATAAGAGAGTATGGTAGTTGTCCCACTTTTTTAATCCGTTATAAAATTATAAATAAAATATTTTAAACCACAAATAATAAAAAGTTTGAAATGTTGTTTAGAATAATTTTTAGCATGTGTGAGACTACATAACTTTCTTCATAAAGAATGTCATTATGATGAATTTTCAATTGAAGTGATGGACAAACTTTCATCTTCAACATTACTGGTTAATGAAAATCATAATTTTGAGTCTATTATTAAAACACAGGAGCAAGAGCGAAAATATACTAATGTTTGGAAGACTAGTATAGCTATGAATATGTGAGTGAATTCTATTTAGAACGACATAATATTACAAAAAATTATTATTATTTATCCAGACATTATTATTATTTTTTTTATTTTTATATTTGACTCTTTTTAAATTTGAATGTATGAAAAGAATCTTGAATTCTTATCTTATGTAAAAAAATTATGAAATTCTGCAAAGTTCACAAATTCCCGCAGAATCCATTAAAATCCTAACTTAAAAGTCTTGCATAATCCATTAAAATCCTGATTGAAAGTCTTGTGGAATCCTACAAAATCTTAAAAGTCATAAAAATCTTGCAAAGTCTTTTAAAATTCACAGGACTTTTTTCAACTAAAAAAGTCCTTTAAAATCTTAATCCAATACACCCCCCTAAATCTACCTAGACTTACTTCATTCAATAACTCATGTTCTATATTACATTTTAACGATTCAACCATTGAATTTAAAGTTCCTAATACAAAAGATCAAATATGAAAAAAAAATGAAAATCATTTGATATTTTGTTTCATTAATTCAAATCAATGTATCAAATAATTTTATGATTATCTGTCCATTTGAATTAATGAAACGAAGTATCAAATGATTTTTAAAATTTTAAAAATCATTTGATACTTCGTTTCATTAATTCAAATCAATGTATCAAATAATTTTATGATTATCTGTCCATTTGAATTAATGAAACGAAGTATCAAATGATTTTTAAACTTTTAAAAAATTTCTAGACTTGATCTATGCATTAAAACTTTAAATTAAATTGAATTGTTGAAATTTTGTGTAGAACACGAGTTATTGAACATAGTAAATTTAGATAAATTTATTTCTAAAATAGATGAATCTTTCCTCATATATAAATAAATAAATAAATACTATAAATATGTTAATTTTAGATAGTTATATTTCTATTTTTAATTATTAATAGTTGAATTATTAAATATAATAATAAGACAAATTATTACAGACAAGGCTTGTGAGTCACACAACACCAGTCAAGTCAAGAATAACGCACACAACGCACTAAAACGAAAACTTCATTGTTTCTTCCATCCCACTCATATTCAAACACAAGCAAGGAAAGACAAACCACCAATGTCCCACATTCACCCAAAGAGAACTCTCTTACAAGACAATGCAAGAAGTTGAAATTAAAAAAAAAAAAAAAAAAAAAAAAAGAGAGTGATTTATAAGGTCTAATTAACAAATAATAAAAACATAATTAAAATAATAAAAAATATATATTAATAAATATGACGTGATATCATTAAATGGGATGTCTCTATTTAATTGGTCAAGGAAGTGAAGGTATTAAAATTCTTCTGAAATACAACCACACCAATAATTTCTCAAAAGTTAATATGTTATCATAAATAAATTAAAAAAAAAGGTTGCGTTGGAAGAAAACGTATCCAATAAATATAATTCCCAGTCTTTTTTCATAAGCAAATTTATGTGGCGTCTAGTTGTACAAAAATAAATTGGTAATTTTGTATATTGTGGTGGGTGCTTGTAACAAGTCATATATATGAACAAAGACATTTTTTAATTTTATTTTATGGATCCTTTTCCTCTGACGCGCTAGCAGAATATTGCTTAACAAGATACCGAAAGGGAAAAAGGACATTGCTTAACACTTAACACGACATCTTTGTAAAGATTAAAGAATCTGTCGACAGTCATTGGTCTTCTGCTATGTGGAATCTTCAAAACTTAAAAGAAAAAGGAAAAAGAATAGAAGGAGCTGAAAGAAAATAAAAGACAAAAGAGACAGCGTGATTGCTAATTCTTGGTTACTTATGTCATCTCCAAATAAATCTAAACTCAATTTAGGCTAATTTTTCTCATATTCTCCTCTTGGAGTTAGCTAGACACTTATTTTTTAAGCATTCAACATAAATTCGTGATCAAGTTATAATTTATAAATGTATGTTTAATTTTCTTACTTTCTTTTGGTCCAATAGTCGTTGAGTTCTTACTATGACTCTAAGTCCTTCTTGTTTTGTCTCTCTTTATTTCCTTTCTTAACCATTTTTTTCACCTCTCTTCCTCTTTCTTTTCGTAATGTAGCAACCAACTATGTTTGTCATCATGCAACACCTCTTTTATTTATAATTTTTAAGTCATTTTTACCTTTATTTCCAAGTCAGAGTCACTTATGACTACAAAAGAAAATGAACGGGTGTGTTGCCTTTTGGGGGGCCTAAGTAACATTAACATTTTTGTTATATAATTATTAGTTTATTTAAAAATATACTAATAATATTACTCATAGTAATTATATATATAATTTTTTTATTTAGTGTATATATATAATATAATACATACAATTTTTTTTAGTAACTATATGTGCAGCTTTAATTTTGATTTAACACACACACACACACACACATATATATATATA